CTACAGACTGGACAAAAATTTTGGCTATGATATATCTGACAAAGGTCTAATCTCTTAAATCTATAGGAAAATCAACACCACCTCTACAATAAAAACACAAGTAATCCAATTAAAAAATGGTCAAAGGATATGAACAGACACTTCACCAAAGAAGACATTCAGGAGGCTGACACATGAGGAAATGCTCTCAATCACTAGGCATTAGAGAAATGCAAATCAAAAGTACAATGAGATACCATCTCACCCCGACATTACTGGCACAAATCAAAAAAACAGAAAAGAATAAATGTTGGAGAGGTTTCGGGGAGATCAGAACTCTTATGCACTGCTAGTAGGAATGCAAAATGATACAACCATTTTGGAAAATGATATGGCACTTCCTTAAAAAGCTAGAAACAAAAATACCGTATGATCCAGTAATCCCACTCCTAGGAATATATCCTAGAGAAATAAGAGCCGTCACACAAATAGACATATGCATGCCCATGTTCACTGCAGCATTATTCACAACAGCAAAAAGATGGAAACAACCTAAGTGCCCATCAACAGATGAATGGATAAACAAATGATGGTACATACAAACAACGGAGTACTAATGCAACAATAAAGAACAATCATGAATCTGGGAAACATCTCACAACAGGGATGAATCCGGAGGGTATTATGCTGAATGAAATCAGTCAATCACAAAAGGACAAATACTGTATGAGACAACTATCATAACACATGAAAATGTTTCCCCACAGAAAGAAACAATCTTTGATGGTTACAAGGGAGGACAGTGGTGGGGAGGGAAAAACACTAAACAGGTAGTAGATAAGTGGTAACTTTGGTGAAGGGTAAGGCAGTCCACAATACTGGGGAAGTCAGCACAACTTGACCAGGGCAAAGTCATAAAAGCTTCACAGACAAACTCAAATGCCCTGAGAGACCAAGCTGCTGAGCTGAGGGCTGGGGACCACGGTCTTGGGGGACTTCTAGCTCAAGTGGTCTAATACAGTCTATAAAGAAATTGTTCTACATCTGACTGTGGCGAGTGGCATCTGGGGTCTTAAAACGCTGCGAGCTGCCATCTAAAATACATCTACTGGGCCCATCCTGGCTGGAACAAAGGAGAATGAAGACCAAAGACACAAGGGAAAGATTGGTCCAAAGGACTAACGGACCACAACTACCATAACTTCCACCAGACTGAGCCCAGAACAACTAGATGGTGCCTGGTTACCACCACCTACTGCTCTTGCAGCGATCACAATAGAGGGTCCTGGACAGAGCTGGAGAAAAATGGAGAACAAAATTCAAACTCACAAAAAAAAAAAAAAAAAATACCAGGCTTGTTGGTCTGACAGAGACTGGAGAAACCCCAAGAGCATGGACCCCGGACACCCTTTTAACTCAGTACTGAAGTCACTCCTGAGGTTCACCCTTCGGCCAAAGATTAGACAGGTCTACAGGACCAACAATAACACACGCGAGGGACGTGCTTCGTAGTTCAATTCATGCACAGGAGACTGATGGGCACACCGGCCCAAAAGCAAAGACGAGAAGGCAGGAAAGGACAGGAAAAATGGACAAATGGAAACAGGGAATCCGGGGCAGAGAAGGGGAGAGTGTTGACACATTATGGGGTTGGCAACCAATGTCACAAAACAATTAGTGTATTCACTGTCTGAGAAACTAATTTGCTCTGTAAACTTTCACCTAAAGCACAATAAAAAATAAATAAATGAGAAATAAAGGTAAGTACTACAAGCATTTCAAAAAGGGTGAGAGTCCAATGGCCTGAGGGTAGCAGGGATGGCTTGGTAGAAGAGGTGGAATGGAGTCGAGCATTCAAGAAGTCAGAGGATTTGGATAGCTAGAGGAGTTGAGAGGACAGTCTAGATAAAATGGATAGTGTGAGACTCAGACAGAAACCAAGGAGCTTTGAAAACGATGAACAAATAAGACTAAGTGGAGTGGATGGCTTGAGTAAACGGGAACCAGGAAAGAAGGATGGAAAGCAACATTGAGTCCAGATTGGGCAGGACCTGAGGAGACCGAACTGATTCTGGCAAAGAGAAATCACTGCCGGTGCTTGAGCAGAATAATTACTGTATTAAATTCATGTTTTAGGAAGATTCCTCTAACAATGATGTACAGGATGGATTGCGACAGGAGGGATAAAAGGAAAGATGGGATGCCATTTATCCAATAAGAATGAAAAACGACAATAGTATACAATATCCATGATGTATGAAATTATTATTACTCGGTAGACACTGTTCTAGCATGTGCTTTCCCATTTAATTCTCATACAACCTGATGAAGTAAACTGGATTATCATCCCCATTTGATGAGTGAGAAAACTGAGTCAGAGAGGCTTAGTAACTCACCGAAGTCTCAAAACTAGGAAGTGGAAGAGCCACAATTTGACCCTAGATAATGACTTCAGAGCCTCCACTCTTAACTACTGTGTCATGTCCTCATATTACTATGTTACTGAAATAATCCAAAAAGGAAATAATTAGGCCTGGACTGTTATATTCGTAGTAAAAAGAAACTTAAAAGACATACCAACCAATCACAATGTGTGGAACTGACTGGATCCTGGTTCAAGCAAGCAAACTGAAAAAATAAAAAATAAATTTAAGAGACAAGGTAGTGCAAAGCTCCTGTGACAAAGGGGAGAGAGGAAGAGGTAACACGCAGTGTGTGAAGGAAAAGGATTAAACACTATTTCTCCCCCTCCCACTGAACCCTGGATCTAAGCAGTGCAAATTGAACTTGACAACCAGCTCCTGCCTATGTGTCTAAGGAGGAAAATATAACATTCAGGGCTTGTAGGATAAGTTGTTTAGTTATCCTGCATGGCAAAACCCAAACCAAACCAGTTTCTGTGGAGTTGGTTCTCATTCATGGTGTTTCAGAATAGACCTGCACTCCAGAAGCAGATCGCCAGACCTTTCTTCCAAGGCAGAACCACCAATCTTTCCGTTTGTAGCCAAGCCAAGCCCTTAACCATTTGTGCCTCCCAGACACTGCTAGGATACTGAATTGTGGGAACCACTCATCTTCTTCCTAGATCTCGTCCTCAGCAATTCTCAAGGCAGCACTTCTTTTTTTCCACCCGATACATATACAAAGAAATAAATAGATAACGTCAGACATGAGAAATATTTTTTTAAAAGAGTAAGATCATATGAAGTCAAACAGTGAGCACTTCTGAACGGCAGGGTTTTCAGAGCATTCCAAAAGAAACCCGCAAGTGCACGTTCTAGCAAGGAAGCCAGTGGGGCTGGAGCACAGAGACTCAAGTGGTAGCAACTGAGGTTGGAGTCACCGCAGTGGGTCAAATCAGAGAGCCTTGTTAAGGCAGGCGCTGAACGGACTCAGCGTGGATGCGTCTCCTGGTCTTACAGAACCTGGTGTATCAGGCCCAGGTGGAGTGTCTGGAGAGGCACAATCCTGAGGATGGGTTCTGACGCTACTCTAGGAGCCCTCCCTTTCCAGGGCCACCTGAACCCCGCAGCCCCCAAAAGTGGGAGGGCAGAAACCCACAAAAAAAAAAAAAAAAAGTTGCCATCAAGTTGATTCTGACTCATGGCAGCCCCAAGCGTAAGGAAGAACTGCTCCACAGGGTTTTCTAGGCTGTAACCTTCATGGAAGCAGATGGCTAGATCCGTCTTCCGCGGCACTGGTGGGTGGGTTCCAACAACCAACCCCCGCCCCTGGTCGTGGAGGAGATTCCGACCCATAGCGATCATGGGGTTTCCAAGAAGCAGCTGGTGGATTCGAGCTGCCGATCTTTTGGTTGGCAGCCGCGCTCTTAACCGCTGCGCCACCAGGGCTCCATTAAAAAACAAACCCATTGCCGTGGAGTCCATTCCCACTCCTAGCGACCCTGCAGGTTACTAGTCAAGCGCAAACCGCTGCCTCTCTAAAACTCCAGCTTTCTCGGTTAGCTGAAGTTCGGGGACCTAACCTGGCCGCCAGACTTAAAACCCCAGAAAGCCGCGAACGGTTCCCTGTTGCGTTCCCACGCACGGGCACGTTAGGACAGCATTCCCTACTCCACGCCCTGAATCCCGGGCTTCCTCCCGCCCATGTGGGAGGGCCAAGGGAAAATGTGCACCAATCAGAGTGGAGAATTGGAAGACGCTCACCCTCGAGACCAATAGAGTAGAGGGTGGGCGGGGACGAGGAAGCGGGTTAGCTCCTCTGATTTAAACCACGGGGACGGGCGGTGAACGACAGCCCGAACGAAGGGGCGCAGTGCGCGTGCGCCGGCTGAGTGTGGCTAACGGAAGCCTGCGGGGCTGCGCAGGCCGGCGGTGGGTCTCGGTGAGTCGTCAGCTCCGGGAGCGTCTGAGGGAGGTGGGGTGCGGGGGCCCGGGGCCCG